GCGGGGGTCCCTCAGCGCCGTCGCTTTCCTCCAAGCGCCCCGACTCTCCTTTTGGTGTCCCAGCTATTATTTTCCGGCGCATTAACTGGATTAATCCCTTGTGGTTTACCCAGGAGATCACAGCTGGAAGGGATAAATTATGGTATTTTATGACCAAATAGTTTGCCTGAAGCTGACAGTTGCTGGCTATTAGTGCTGACTTTTATTGTATGATACTGCCAGATCTGAGAAGCCTTAAATTAATTTCTCCAAGCACTGGAAACCTCTTTTCCAGCAAATTTTGTAGAGTTTAGACAGAGCCTGTTTGCTTTGAAGGGCTGGAGGATTGCTCGGGGTAAACACTTCCAGGGCAGGACGTGGCAATCAAGCCCAACGGTGGTATTTTAATTAAAATGTTGGACTGCAAGCGGTGGTTGTAACATCTGATTTGCATATTCCCGGTCCCTTCTCCTTCTGCTGCTTTGACAGATTTCCAGTCGTGTCTGATTTGCATCGCGAGGCGATTGCCTCGACCGGCGGCCGTCACCCCTTCCGAATCCTTCGTGACCAAGCAAGACACCACAGGTAACGTCCCAGCGATGCCGGGCGGTCCCGGCTCCGGAGGATTCGTTGTCCCCAGGGGTCTGAGGCCAGCGAGGCGGTGCAGGACGTGGTCCTGTCCTTTGCAAACGGCAGCGCTGCCTGGTAGGACCGATGCTGGGGACACCTCAGGTGGAAACACCTCAGCTGGAAGCACCTCAACGAATTTTACACCTCAGCGGATCCCGTACGCCAGACCCATGCCTGGCACGCAGCCCCTCTCTGCTCCCTTGGACTTGGGGGGCTGTTGAGGTTGCTGATTGATGGGAATGACACAGTCATCACCTTTTGGATTCAAGTTTGCTCTCAGTCATTTGTAGCCATGCTGGTGGCCTTCTCTCTGGTCGTTAATCATCACCCTGGACTTCCCTGCAGCCTCAGAATCCTTCATGATTGTTTTCTCTGCTCGCTGCTCCTTACCCACGGCTGTAAAACAGCCGGCAAAGCTACCTGGTGTTTCATGTCAAGGGAGAGAGCAGGCAGGAGGTCCTGCTTGGAGGACCCTTGGGTGTGGGCAAGGTGGCTGGCGGGGTGTCCCGTCAGGTGAGGGTGTGAATCTGGGGACGCCAGCCCTGGAGCAGCGAGGGTCCCTTCGCGTGAAGGTGCTTCTGGTGGATTTTGCGTCCACTTTGGGTGGCCAAGCTAAGTGGAGAGGTCAGTGCATGCTCCAGAGCAAGCCCCTTGAACCTCCACCTCCTTCTGGAGGACATCCTTGCGTGCTGCCAGATAGGACGTGGCTTCATTTTCCGCGTTTACAGAGCTCTTTGTGCTGAGGGACTTCTCACGCTGTGCTGGAGTAATGTGGCTCCTCTCTTTCCGCCCAGGTAAAATCATCTCCATCGACACCAGTTCCCTGAGAGCCGCCGGCAGGACGGGCTGGGAGGACCTGGTGCGGAAATGCATCTACGCTTTCTTCCAGCCGCAGGGCAGAGAGCCATCTTACGCCAAACAGCTCTTTCAAGAAGGTAACGGGCTCCTCTTCCTCGCTGGCTGCTCTCCTGCCCAGCAGCGGGAGCTGCAAGGAGAAGCCGGGGGCACGGTGAAGCGCTTGCCGGAACCACGAATGCCGCAGTGACAATCGCAGAGTGCCAAAGAGAGAGGGGAGAGGGCTGAGGGACGCCGGAGGAGCTCCTGCAGCCGGGAGGTTTGCTCCCACCTTGCAGGAAATACCAAGTGGAGACAAATAGGAGCGAAATACGACGAATTTAATTTTTTATTTCCTATGCCGTCCACAACCGCCATCGCCAGTGTCTAAGCAGAATCACAGAATCACAGAATAGTAGGGGTTGGAAGGGACCTCTGTGGGTCATCTAGTCCAACCCTCCTGCCGAAGCAGGGTCACCCAGAGCAGGCTGCACAGGATCTTGTCCAGGCGGGTCTTGAATATCTCCAGAGAAGGAGACTCCACAACCTCCCTGGGCAGCCTGTTCCAGTGCTCCGTCACCCTCAGAGGGAAGAAGTTCTTCCTCGGGTTCAGACGGAACATGAAGAAGAAGCGCAAAGCTCTTTCGTGAGCATCTGTGCTCTGTCGGCTCTGTCGTGAGCGTCGTTGCTGTGAGGATGCTGGCGACAGGGACGTGGGGAAGGCAGGAACGCAAGAGCGGGGGAGGTCGCTCAGCTTCTGGAGAGCTGTCACTCTGCCAGGGTGCAGCGGCAGCGTCCTGCTGCAGCTTCCCAGCATGGCTGGGGGTCACAGAATCACAGCATCACAGAATGTTTGGGGATGGCAGGGACCTCTGTGGGTCACCCAGCCCAACCCCCTGCCCAAGCAGGGTCACCCAGAGCAGGGGGCACAGCACCACGTCCAGGCGGGGCTGGAATATCTCCCGAGAAGGAGACTCCACAGCCCCTCCGGGCAGCCTCGGCCAGGGGTCCGTCACCCTCAGAGGGAAGAAGTTCTTCCTCAGGTTCAGCTGGAACTTCCCAGGCTTCAGTTTGTGCCCGTTGCCCCTTGTCCTGTCGCTGGGCACCACTGGAAAGAGTCTGGCCCCGTCCTCCTGACACCCACCCTGCAGATATTTATAAGCCAGTTCTCGATCCACCTCAGGTCATCAGCTTGGACGTTGTACACTGGTGGCTGAGTGACCATCCCTTCAGAAGCTCTGAGCGCTCAAGGAGGGTGATGGATGGGTTTAGATTTACCCACTGCAGGACACGGGTTTGGAGCTGGAGGAGCAGCGGGGAGGATTTCTGTGCCACCGTGGTTATTCATAACCCTCTTATTTTCCGGATCTCTGGGGTTAGCCAACATGGAGCGTGTGGTTTTGTTTGCTGGGAAGATGGCTGTCCCAGGCAGGTTCTCCCTCTCCTCTGTTCCTTCCATTCCCCTGGTGCTTGTAGGGTGTTGTGGGTTCTGGCTGGAGTTTCTAAGGGGATTGATGTGTTGCTTGGTTGTCTCCTTCAGTGATGACACGCGGCACGGCCTTCAGCCCCTCGTACCGATTCACCCTGAGCGACGGGACGGTGCTCAGTGCCCACACCAAGTGTAAACTCTGCTACCCCTCCAGCCCGGAGATGCAGCCCTTCATCATGGGCATCCACGTCATCGACAGGTACGTCCCCACCCTGCCACTACCGAGCTCTGCCAGCGCCTGGGCGGGCGATCCAGGACCCCAAGTGCCCGTTGCCTACAGTGGAAGGAGGATCCACTGGTGGTCTGTGGTGCTGGTTTGGAGATGTGATCCCTGTGGGGAATCCGAGACTGAAAACCACCGTGACGGCAGCTCTGTGGCTCTTCACTATTCTTCTTTTGCAAAGAGGTGGCCCCGGGAGCTCAGGTCGGGGTTTACAGACGTGCTTCACGTTTCTGCCTTGCCCCGGAGAACTGAAAATATTCGGGGAGGGGCTCTGACAAACTGGCAGGACAGGAAAAGGTGAGGCTGTGGACCTGGGCCGTGCTGGGGCGGAGGGGAACGCTGTCGGAGCGTGGTCCTTCTCCAGCCTTGTGGGAGAGTCAGACCCAGAGAAGGTGATGCCTTCGGGGTCTAGCTGGTGAGCGTTTGCAACCCCGAGCATCCGTGCTACCGATCCAGAAGCGCTGGTGGAGATGGGAAGGCTGGGCCAACCAGGGCTTGTGAGCTGCTGCTGCTCTCCAGGCTTCACAGAATCACAGAATCACAGAATAGTAGGGGTTGGAAGGGACCTCTGTGGGTCATCTAGTCCAACCCCCCTGCCGAAGCAGGGTCAGCTTCAGAGCTGTGCAGCACAGAGCGGGGGCAGGAGCTGCCTGAGCGACACTGAAGGGTTGAGCAAAGCCTCTTGTGACGTTTCCTCTCTTTTTCATCTCCTGCAGGGATCACGGCATGCTCTCGCCCCAGGAGAACACTAACTCCGCGATGTCCCTTCCCCGGGTCAGCCCCTCGCTCAGCCCCAGCATCTCCCCGGGGCAAGGCATGGCCCTGCCGCCCTCCATCCCCCCCTCCAACGGCAGCATGTTGGCCACCACCGTGAACCAGCAGCCGGGCGCCGGCCCCCACAACAGCAAACCAGCCAAACTGGCTTTGGGTGTTCACCTGGGAACCAGATCGGAGCCAACGTTGCCTTAAGCCAGGGACAAGCCGGTCCCCAGAACAGTAACCACACTTTGAACCTCAACAGCTCCCCCATGAACAGTCCGGGGATCACCCCACCACAGTTCATGTCTCCAAGGCACCGGGTCAGCCCAGGGCTGGTGCCCAGACCCAGAGTGCCCAGCAACCCCTTCTCGCCCACCATGCCCACCATGCACTCCCCCGTGGGCATGGCC